GATTTGTCCTTCCCCTTTGAGGAGTATCAGCACCAAATCTGGATCGGATAGCACCTGCCCCTCTGGCTCTGAGCCCCTTCCCCCCACGAGGGTCTGCCCCCTCCATAGGGTCAACCTAACCTCCTACTGCCCCGGCCGAGCGCAGGAATGGGACGCTGGAGCCCGCGGCCGAGTGGTCAGTACTGCTGGGCGTGCACTCCCAGGACGGGCCCTTGGACGGCGCGCACACCCGCGCAGTGGCCGCCATCGTGGTGCCAGTCAACTACAGCCAAGTGGAGCTGGGAGCTGACCTGGCCCTGCTGCACCTGGCCTCACCCGCCAGCCTGGGCCCCACCGTGCGGCCCGTCTGCCTGCCCCGCGCCTCACACCGCTTCGTGCACGGCACCGCCTGCTGGGCCACCGGCTGGGGAGACGTCCAGGAGGCAGGTGAATGGGACAGGACAAGAAAGGGGGCCTCGGGGAGGTGGGGCTTCAGGAGGTGAGGTTCCTAGGGCGGGGCCTCGGGAGGTGACGTTTCTAGGGCGGGGCTTCTGGAGGTGAGGTTCTTAGGGCGGGGCCTCGGAGGTGAGGTTCCTAGGGCGGGGTTTCGGGATGTGGGGCCACAGAGGGGAGCCTGGTGGGAGTCTTGGAGGGTAGGTTTCTGCGGGTCGGTAGATGAATCCCACGCCAATCACCATGGAGCCCTCTCCCCACAAGGATTCTCAAACTAAGACCACGGAATCACCCACAGGCACCCCATTCCCTCACCTTTCTTTCCAGTTTTTTCTTTCCTGGATTTAGGCTCCGACTAGGGTTCCCATCCCAGCTCTACCATGTCAGACAAAGCGCTTCACCCACTACATTTCCTCCTCTGTAACACGAGGAAAATAGCCATGCCCACTTCAAGAGGTGGTTGGGTGGATTAAATGAGAAAATCCATGTAAAGTTCATAGGACAGTGCCTGGCATAGCAATAACCAATGCACTTTAGATATTTCACCTCAGGTAATCTATAGTAAAGTAGTAAAGCACAAGGCTGGCCTATAATAGATGTTCAGTGAATGCCAATCTGTGCCTCCCTCCCGTCCGCCTTCCTCCCATCCTATCCACCCCCACTCATCTCTGTACTCCCCACCTCCTCTCTTCTCCCTACCCACCATCATTCACTCAGTCATTCTTTCACTCAAGATATTTCTTGAGCACCTTCTACGTGCCAGGCACTGTGTTAGGCATTAGAGAGACACTAGTGAACATAAAAAGCCAAAATCCTGCCTTTTCAGAGTTTACATCCTAGCAGATAGACAAACAACAAGTTCAATAAATAAGCACACATTATGTTAGAAGGTGGGGGGGAATAGACCGAATCTCCATCCCCCTCATCCCCATCACCCAAGCTTTCCATGCTCCCAGGGTCCCCACAAATATCCCCATCGGCCGTGGTCAGACCTGTGCCCATCCTGGGGGCTTTGGGAAGGTGCTGCAGGGGGTGATGCCACAGCCTCTGCTTGTGGAGGTCCCATGAGGGCAGGAGGTGACAATGAAGCGTCACTGTGAGCCCCAGGAAGTTTGTGTGAATGGGGCCAGGCCATCCTGACAATGGGCACCCAGAGAAGTAGATTTCTGCAGAGGTTTTCAAAGAGAGGGTGCATTGCAGGAAGACGGGGGGAGATGAAGGCCAGATAAGGACCCAGATAAAGCATGTTAGATGAAGAAGAGCCAGGATGCCAGGCTGGAGTGAGAAGGGGACAGGCACCTGGGCTGCAAAGGCTGCTGAGGGCCGACCATGAAGGCCTTAAGATCAGACTGAGGGCCAGAGCACTCACCAGCTCCAGGGACGCCCAGGACAATCCCCAACTTCCCTGGTGAGCCCCAAGTACAGCTTCAGCCATCACCTGACCTCAGATTCTTTTTTATTTATTTTTATTTTATTTTATTTTATTTTTTATTTTTTTGAGACGGAGTTTCGCTCTTGTTGCCCAGGCTGGAGTGCAACGGCACGATCTAGGCTCACTGCAACCTCCACCTCCCAGCTTCAAGCACATTCTCCTGCTTCAATCTCCCAAGTAGCTGGGATTACAGGCACCCACTACCATGCCCGGCTAATATTTTGTATTTTTAGTAGAGACGGGGTTTCTCCATGTTGGCCAGGCTGGTTTTGAACTCCTGACTTCAGGTGATCCACCTGCCTCAGCCTCCCAAAGTGCTGGGATTGCAGGCGTGAGCCACCATGCCTTTGACCTCAGATTCTGAGTGTGGTGGGGAAGGAGTTCTGTCTGTACTTCCCCCCACCTTTCTGGATCCTAAAAAGCAGGATGGGGCTGCAGCACCGGGTTTAGACAGTGGGATCCATTTATTTTTCTTGGTGAGATCAGAAATGAACTTGAGTAACCTTCCTCTTCATTGCAGAAGTGAAGAGTGGATCAGAAGACTGGGTCAGTTATCCAGGCCCAAAGCTATGCATCCTCAATGAGGGTAGTTGGTGAGAATGCCAAGAAGTCACAAATGAGAGGTTTTCATGAACTGGGAACTGACTGGGGGAGGGGAGTTGAGAGAGGAGACAGGGATGACACCCAGATTCCATGCTTGCCAACTCGAGACAGGATCATGTCAAGTCCATATGGCATCTTTGCGAAAAGATGTCTCTGGACCAATACAACTCCACATGAGAGCTCAGACTTAATGATTATAGTCCCTAAATTGCATCCTTTATTGCAGTGCACAACCTGCACAACCATGCATGGCAGCTCTCACTAGGAGCTTGATGGGACCATTCCTGAGATGAAGAAGTAGAAAGAATAGAGAGAAGCAGCAGGAGATGTGGTGAATGCGATGGGCTGAGAGGCCATGGGGCATCTAGTTGATGTCCAAGAAGCAGCCTCAGGGGGCAAACCTGAATCCTGGGAACTGGGGACACCATACCTGCCTCACAGCACCTGCTCTCTGGTTCTGCCCCCAGATCCTCTACCTCTCCCCTGGGTGCTACAGGAAGTGGAGCTAAGGCTGCTGGGTGAGGCCACCTGTCAGTGTCTCTACAGCCAGCCCGGTCCTTTCAACCTCACTCTCCAGATATTGCCAGGGATGCTGTGTGCTGGCTACCCAGAGGGCCGCAGGGACACCTGCCAGGTGAGGGAAGGCCCCTGCACCTGCCTGGCAGGGCCAGAGTCCTAACCGGTGGCAAACAGATAAATGACATCTCTCCTAGCCTCATCTGCAAAAGGAGGACAAGATTGCCAAGCGATGGGATTGACGTGTATTTTTTTGTTTGTGTATTTTGAGACAGAGCCTCACTTTGTCATCTAGGCTGGACTGCAGTGGCACAATCTCGGCTTACTGCAAGCTCCCCCTCCCCCCACCCCCACCACTCAAGCGACTCTCGTGCTTCAGTCTCCCAAGTAGCTGAGATTACAGGCATGTACCACTACAGACTGCTAATTTTGTATTCACTTGTGCCTGGCCAAGTGAATTTATTTATTTATTTATTTATTGAGACGGAGTTTCGCTCTTGTTGCCCAGGGCAGAGTACAATGGCATGATCTCAGCTCTGCCTCCCAGGTTCAAGCGATTCTCCTGCTTCAGCCTCCCAAGTAGCTGGGATTATAGGCATGTGCCACCACACCCAGCTAATTTTTAGTAGAGATGGTGTTTCTCTATGTTGGTCAGACTGGTCTCGAACTCCCAACCTCAGGTGATCTGCCTGCCTCAGCCTTCCAAAGTGCTGGGATTACAGGCATGAGCCACCGCACCCGGCTATTTATTTATTTATTGAGACAGAGTTTTGCTCTTGTTGCCCAGGCTGGAGTGCAATGGCACGATCTTGGCTCACTGCAAACTCCACCTCCTGAGTTCAAGCAATTCTCCTGGCTCACCCTTCCAAGTAGCTGGGATTACAGGCATGAGCCACCATGTCCAGCCAAGGCCAAGTGAATTTAAAAACCAAAGACAGCATCGCCAGGAGCAGTGACTCATGCCTGTAATCCCAGCTAGTCAGAAAATTGAGGCAGGAGGATCACTTGAGCCCAGGAGTCTGAGACCAGCCTGAGCAACATAGTGATACCTTGTCTCAAAAAAGGAGAGGAACTGGCTTGGCACAGTGGCTCACGCCTGTAATCCCAGCACTTTAGGAGGCCAAGGCAGGCGTATCACTTGAGCTCGGGAGTTTGAGACCAGCCTGGCCAACATGGAGAAAATCCATCTCTACGTAAAAGACAAAAATTAGCCGGCTGCGGTGGTGTACACCTATAGTCCCAGCTACTCGGGAGGCTGAGGCAGGAGAATCACTTGAACCCGGGAGGCAGAGGTTGCAGTGGGCCGAGATTGCACCACTGCACTCCACCCTGGGAAACAGAGCATTTCCCAGGCTGTCTCAAAAAAGAAAAGAAAGAAAGAAAAAGAAAGGGAAGGAAAGAAGGAAGGAAGGGAGGGAGGGGAATTATTTGAGCTAGTAACTGGACAAGAATCACTTGGCTCTGATGACACCTGCAGGATTCTCTTTCGTGGTCTTGAATGCACTCCCCCGGTGCTCTTGGCTCTGGCTGCCATCGGCCTTCTGCTTACAGGGTTTTCTTTTGTTTAGAGCGCCAGGGAATGCAGAGGACAAGGCCTAGCCAAGGAGGGTTTCTAGGAGAAGGGAGAAGGTGGTGTATCTTGCGCCAAAAGAAGGTGCAGGACCTTTTCGAGGAGGCCAGTATAAACGGGTGGGTCCCTGGGCTGACCCCTTGACATGCAGTCATCTGTCACTAGGGTGACTCTGGGGGGCCCCTGGTCTGTGAGGAAGGCGGCCGCTGGTTCCAGGCAGGAATCACCAGCTTTGGCTTCGGCTGTGGACGGAGAAACCGCCCTGGAGTTTTCACTGCCGTGGCTACCTATGAGGCATGGATACGGGAACAGGTGATGGGTTCAGAGCCTGGGCCTGCCTTTCCAATCCAGCCTCAGAAGCCCCAGTCAGATCCCCAGGAGCCCAGGGAGAACTGCACCATTGCCCTGCCTGGTGAGTGGGCGGCACCCCTGGATGTGAGTGGGACGTGGGAGAGTGAGTTGGGATGGAGACTGCTGGGACTGATTGGGGTGCAGGAGGCCCACTGACCCAGGTCTCTCACCTCTCAGAGTGCGGGAAGGCCCCGCGGCCCGGGGTCTGGCCCTGGGAGGCCCAGGTGATGGTACCAGGATCCAGACCCTGCCATGGGGCACTGGTGTCTGAAAGCTGGGTCTTGGCACCTGCCAGCTGCTTTCTGCAGTGAGTGAAAATCTACGTTTCAAGCCGATCCTTGCCCCTCCCTACATTAGCCTGAGACACCATTTATTTGGCCCCAGCCCCTCCCCTGGGGGGTGTGGGGCGTGTGGGATCCCATTCGGAGGTGTAGGATCCAGCACAAAAAGAGGGGTCCTGGCCTGGCAGGGGTGGATAGAGGCATGGAAGAAGTTCAATCCCGGAGGCGGGGGTGTGAGTGAGCCGCTGGAATGGGGGTAGCGTGGGGATCCCACCAGGATGCAGGATCCTCGCCAGGCGAGTCTAAGCCAGGGGTGCGAGGTTTCTAGCCACGTGTGCGG